TAGGACTTAGTATTGGAGCTACACATGGCGTTGGTATTTTCGGCGTGTGAGCTATGGAGTTTCGTCCCCCGGTTAGACCGCTCATCCCTAGACGCAGGACAGCACTTAGAAATCTTGCGGACTAGCCAAACAATCCCCCAGTTGGATTGTTTCCCAGATACCTAGGTAGTGTGAGAGAAGTAGATGATATATTCATATTTATATATATATATATATAATATAGGTGTGAGTGTAAAGCAATTAGAGTATATGTAGTAGGTTGGTAAGAGCAGTATAAATATTGGGGATAAAGTTTATGGTTTGAGTGACTTTTGGGTTCTATGGGTTTCAAAGAATAATGTTTTTGAGTATTAATTATGAATTATGAACCTGCATGTCTTGAGCATTATTTTTACACGGTGGGGTTATTATGTTATTTTAAATGCAAACTTTGTTTTTGTCCACTCATGTTTTCTGTTTTGCGTCCCCCAGACAGTAGTGGCTCTAGGAAGCGTGCAAGTTGTGTTTGAGGCTCGAACTGTTTTGAACTAAATTTGTTAGATGCTTCGTTATTACCCATGTTAGGTTCTTATTTGAGGCCGGAGGCCATTTACTTTCTATTGTTGAGTGTTGAAAGCATGCTGCTGTTTGGTATCTTTATTATTGTATGTTATGTAGGTTGAATTTTGTTGGGTTTGTACAATTTACAGGGGTGACTGCAAAAATTTTGGTAGAAAGTCTCGGTTTTATTTTTTAGTATGTGGGCCCGGCATCGGGTGATGTCAGTGACAAGACGGGATCCGTCCCAGTTTCTGAGGATTTCCGGGGCGGGTCCTATCATATGAAGCCGTGAAGTATGGCTCTTTTGTTACGAAACAGGCCCCTCGAATGTGAACGCTAGTTTTGCATTTGCAGGGAATACCCCTTTCATCACTCTCAGTTACTACCTAGCTGAGAAGTTGAAGAATTTTGTAAAAAAAGATGTCAGATTTCACGAATGGGTTGAAAAATATTCATCCAATCATTATCAAGTATTGTTGATCATGCTTACTTTTAAAACAGCTCAATTATCGAGTTTGTTCATTTTTTATTTTTATTTTTTTATTTTTTGTAGGCAAACTTCATTTATTTGTTGTCAAGGAAAACAATTTGAATCTGCACATTATGTCTTATTTTTAAAATATCTGTGTTTATTCCAGGCACATTATGTCCATAAGGAGAGGGTGCTCAATCATTTATGCCGCTCTTTGACAAGGGATGCCCACCTTCAGTTTGTTTAACCACGATATAGAATTTCCATGGAACTAGCAATAGCTTTTTTCAGCCGGCAAGTCATTGCTGATCAATTCCCCATAGTTCCTGTAATCAAGGACGAGTGTGATACTAGAAGAGAGCTCCTCCTTATTGCATGTGGGTTGAGTTTCTCCTGCTGTGATTCTTACACCAAAGATTTGATGATTGACATACCTATTAAAAGTGTAGTTTTGACTTGTGTTTCCTTTCTTTTGCAGTGGGATTTGTACATAAAAATGTACAGGAAGTCTTATCTCAATTTGCAGATTTTGAAATAAAATTGGACCTTTTTAATGAGATTTCTGAGAAGAGTAAGAAGAAGAAATTGTGGAGGATATTTGTTGGAAGCTCGGTTGGTGACCTTGGCCCTCTTCTGGAAGCAAAAATAGGGATTGTCATCAATCCTTGCGATCACCTTTTGACTGTAGGCTATGAATTTGGGGTGACTTTTATGCAACTGTTGTGGGCAGTCATTTAGAAAAGCAAACAAATGCGAGAAGGTATAGGATCCCTTTGGAAATCAAAGACTGGGACCCTTTATCTTGTCGACAGTTGGCATGAGATAATTACGTTTGTCTTTGGAGCATGTGGTGCTAGGAATAAGAAGCCACCTCATGGTGATATTCTTGAACCTAAGTCTGCAAAGATAAAGAATGATGGTTAAGACATTGTCAGATTCTCGGTTGTATTTTGATGGCTGTAGTGACATTTTTGAACCTAAGTCTGCAAAGCTATCTTATGCACTTTTGGCACTTTTGCCAAAGCCAAAGAGTGAAGCTGAGACTGCTGAAGATGAGAAGCCAAAGAGTGCTTGTGCTAAGCCGTCTCACTGCGATATTCTTGAACTAAAGTCTGCAAATGTATCTTCATTCTCAGCTAAAGGTAGCTTTGCAGCACTCTTTGGCTTTGGCAAAAGTGCCAAAAGTGCAAAAGATAGCTTTGCAGACTTAGGTTCAAAAATATCACTACAACCATCAAAATACAACTGAGAATCTAACAATGTCTTAACACCATCATTCTTTGGCTTTGCAGACTTAGATTCAAGAATATTGCCATGAGATGGCTTCTTATCGTCAGGTGGCTTTTCATTCCTAGCACCACAAGCTCCAAAGATAAACGTAATTATCTCATGCCAACTGTCGACAAGATAAAGGGTCCCAGTCTTTGATTTCCAAAGGGACCCTATACCTTCTCTCATTTGTTTGCTTTTCTGAATGATTGCCCACAACAGTGGCATAAAAGTCACCCCAAATTGATAGCCTACTGCCAAAAGGTGATCGCAAGGATTGATGACAATCCCTATTTCTGCTTCAAGAAGAGGGCCAAGGTCACCAACCGAGCTTCCAACAAATATCCTCAGCAGTTTCTTCTTCTTAGTCTTCTTAGAAATCTCATTAAAAATGAGAATGTGGAACAAGCTGAGAAGCCAAAGAGTTCTACAAAGCTACCTTCAACTGAGGATGAAGCTGAGACTGCTAAAGATAAGAATGTGGAAGCTGAAAAGCAACAAGCTGAGAATCCAAAGAGTGCTTGTGCTAAGTCATTGTCCGATGTGTGTTATCATGATGCTTTTGGCAATCCCTTGGAACTCAAGTATGAAGCTGAGACTAAAGCTAAAAGTGTAGAAGGTAGCTTTGCAGACTTGGGTGACAATGTCTTAACACTAGCATTCTTTGGCTTTGGCAAAAGTGCCCGAAGTTTAGAAGATACCTTTGCAGACTTTGGTTCAAGAATATCTCCAAAGAAGGCTTACTTTCTTCAATCTTTCGTAAAAGGTTCAGGTAAGCACCTTCTCCCTCAGTTTCAGTTTGGTTTTAATGTTTTCTAGCTAAGGCTTTTGAACAGTGAAACTATTTTAGTTATATTAATGTGTATGGTATGCATGATCGCTTTATTAAAGCTGGTAATAACAATTAAAGAGGCGCTTAAAATATCCAAACACTTTTGGAAGAATATGTAAGATGACTTATGTGAGTTAGCCTAATCACGTGTTATGATTATCGTATTAGAATGAGATAATAAGATTTATGTTTATCAGTAATTGTTAGACTTCCAGTTTTGACAGACTTTGGTTAGTTTATATTGACTAGGACTCAATCTCTTAAGTATATTAGTTTTGTTTAAACTCTTACTCTATCTATAATAGGAGAGATAGTGTTAAGGTTTCTTCAATATAAGAGAATCGGTCCCTCCTCTCACAATACATAAGTTCTGTGGTGTGCTTGACCTATTGATAGCAAGAACATTATGGTGTTGCAGAGAGAAGAAGATCATTCCCATAGTTGTCATGTCTTCTTCACTGAGTATGAATCAATCGATAAGTATTCTTTATTCATGTTGTAATTCATGTGTTTATTGTATTCAACGTCAGTTTTTGATTCTTACAGAATATACTACATATCAAGGGACTTTGAGACCAAGAGTTGTTATCCACAATGATTATGGCAAGACATATTTATAAACCACTGTTTGGTTGTTATGTGTATGTGTTTGACAATTGCCATAGAATGCAGCATACTTATATGGTATATGTATCTATGTATGTGCGTATAATTATTTTTCCTTAGCATTTTTAAGTTTAACAAGTGATACTGGTTTGCAAGTTCAAACCTTGGAGGACAAATGCTTTATCTGTCGATAACTTGACACAAAGATTTGATATAGAGCATTCTTGCTCCACCAATCGTGGACTTGACTGATATTCATGAAATGGTTGTTGCTGTTTGCTTTACTCCGGAAATCAGATAGCCTTGTCCAGCTTCCTTATATTGGATGCTTAGAATGTTCATAATATTATTGGCAAAGTTAGGTTCCTGTCAGCCTTGTGGGCTTCAGTTTCGGTTGAATTTAAAGACTACTTTCTCCATTTTTCTAGACTGGAAAGGCTGTGGTGGTTTGAGTTCTTATGTTTTTGGCCTGGTCTTTTTATAGCCTAGTCCTGTTGAAGTCTTCTCTGTTTATATTTTATTTCCTGTAGCTGGCTGTGAAGTTCTCGTTCACGGCTGTTGTTTCTTCTGTCTAGTTGCTTCCTTTGATAAAAATTTGTTTCTTTTCACAAAAAGAAAAGAAATATTAGCAAAGCCTGGATTAGTCAAATTGAATTATATTAGAGAACTTCATAAAGATTTCTAGTAATCCTGCTACTACAACAACAAATAGGCCTTATGATCAATGTTGTTTGTAATGTTTACTTGGACCTGATCCTGTTCAAGTTGGGAACACCAAAAACTATGATGAATTTCGATAGTTTTAGTTGAAATAGTTTTAATCATGAAGTCATTTTTACATATTTGTTTCTCCATTTGTTGTTTATTGTTATTTTCGTATCTAGTTGTCAATGTAGATAATTGTTGCTTAAGTAGAGTGAAAGGTGATAGTTAATTATATCAATTATCATATATGCTTAGACTGTGTTCTTGGCAAAGTTAAAATAACCTAAACTAGCATGCCTCATTTTGGATCCTGAAACTGACAGACTATGATAATGATAAAGATTTTTTCTTTGTGGTACTGAAACTTAAGAATTTTTTGGTTACAAACTGAACATAATAGCGTATTAGAAAAAGAAAGAAAAGGTGAACATAATAGCTTACACTAGTGAGAGACTGGGAAAGTGTGGTATAAGCTGTAATTTTGCAGAAGTGGCAAGTAGAAGATGTTTCGGTTTGTAGATACAAGGGATATATAACCACGCTGTCTCAACTCCATGGGTAACTGATACTAACTTTGCTGCTTATCCCTCTAAACATTGTATTTTCTTATCTAGAAGAAATATTTGCTTGAGTTTATTCTTGTTGGCATTCATATGCTAGACTTCTGATAAAGCTGTTTAAAACTACATATCTTTGAACCAAGCTATAGAAGCTCATCTTTTATTTGTTTTCAAATCGGTGTGTGGGAATAGGAGTTTGACCCATGTTCCATAGGTCGAATTTCGTTATAAGTCATAATAAGTTAATAAGTCCCTGGAAATACAGATTTCTAGTACCAATCCTCTGAATATCAGTTATTCTAGCCCCAGCAAAATGGTCGCTAAAATATTTAATGAATTTGTTAAAACTAATACGTCTGTTGCAGGGTGGTGCTTCATTAGTTCTTGTTGTGTTTCCGGGTAACTGTTTTTAAGCAGTTTGCAAGTAAATTAGCTGCTCTTAATGATATGTTGATTGGTATCAAAGTAGGTGATGTCTGATAAGGCTCAAGAATTGTGGGTTATTTATATTCTATCCATTTGGTTTGTAATGCATGCTCATGTAATAGTTGCCTTTCTCCAGCTATGTGAGGGAAGGACTTGTCCTTGGCCAACTGTTGGGAAATCGATTTACTGTAACATTGAGGTAAGCATCTTCCCTCTATCTATTTGTATTTTCTTGCATAATACATCTCATTTGCTCTCTCTCTCTCTCTCTCTCTCTCTCTCTCTCTCTTCCCCCCTGATTATTTGTGTTGTATCTTTTGGAATTGTACTATTATCCTGATTGAGACTATTTATTTGCATAATAGTGCACTTAAAAGGCTAGATGTTATTGAGATTGGGTATCTTGTTCCTTTTTTTCTTTTTGCAATAAGAGGTTTCTTGTTTTTACAATTGCAAAGATACTACAAAGCCATTAAAAGACGACAGTTCTGTTGTAAAAGGCCAGCTGGTCTGTTTTTTACCCAGAAGATGTCATGTGACAAAAAGATGGTTTATCGAATATGCGATGGATTAAATTTTGCTTGATGGTTTATCGAACTGCATTCTGACTTCAGCGATTGGCAACTGGTTCACCCCCAACTTACCTCATTGGTGCTGCACTAATCAGAGAAGAGTGGAAATCTACTCTGAGCGTGATCCTTGATCCAAGAGAAGGGAATATCCTTTTACTGTTTCATGTGTTGTGAGTCTTGTGACTTGTGAGGATACTTTTTCTTTTCTTTCTATACTTGACTACTTCTAAATACAGCAGTTTATTGCATGCTGATGTAGTGTGGGATTCGTATTAATTTTCTTTAACTTAATTTTTTATTACAAAGAAATCCGATTACAGAGGCAAGAGAATATTATATGGATGCTGATGATATTGAAGGGACCCTGTGGCAGTTACCCCGACATCTGGTTGCTGAAAGAGCTAGAGTAAGTCCCCAACTATGAGTCTATGATTGCTCCTGCTTTGCTTTTTCTCTGCAGAGTCTTGCTAGTGTTTTATGCTTCTCTAAACACTCCTGAAAGATTAATTTCTATTTAAATCTTTTTCTTATTGTAATGAATCCTTCCCTGCATTTGCTGAATCTAAGCTGTCTTTTCTGTCATTTTCTCATGCATCTGGGATGATGATTGCATTATCTTTTATGATGATTCCCACATTGGATTACTTCTTCTTGTGGTTTGTACTTGATCATGAATTTTGTTTCCTTTGTCCTTGTACAGCTGCAGTGTCTGAAGAAATGTCATGAGAACTACTTACAGACTTTGAAAGCTATTCCTAGAACTTTGAGGATTATGTAAGTGGTTTTTTACTAACTTCATAACTGGTTTGGCCTGGAGGAGAGAATAAATGAAGGCTATATTAACACTTATGCATGAGTTTTTGTAATACATCTCTTTTGCATCTTGCTTCTCACTTTCCCAAAATGCATTATGTTAATGAATGCTTTGAACACATATTTTTCACATATTTGTTCATATTTGGAAATCAAATCACACCCTGCAATTCCAATTCCATTTGATTGTGATAGATTCAAACCCTAAACCTCATCGCCGGTCACATTAACTGTGTCTTTGTTTGCTTGGATCTTTTTCTTGGGGCTTTACCTTTTGTTTGGTTGGTGCATATATTATGTTCTAATGACATATTCATTCTCACAAGAACGATGAATAGTACATTTTCTACTCGTGGCCAGGTGACATGGGATGCACCCCAAGTTCCGTGAGACTGGAAGGACTCTGTAAAGATAATTAAAGACCATTTACTGCCGAAACAAAAAGCTAGAGGAGAAAGTTTTGAAGTTTAAGCATGCAATTTAAATTGATTTCTTGTATCAATAACTTAAACCCTTTTGCACCATTATATATATTTAGAGAGCTCTCATTCTCATACATATGAACTTGACATTTGAATTCTGAATCTAGAGAAATCACAACTAGAAGCATCATCTCATCAAAGGTTATTCATATGGATTATTCAAAAGATCTCATGTTGCTTATTTGGTATAGAGCATGCAAGTTAGTGACCGGTTTTCTCTTAAATTGATTTGCTTTTTAATTTTTACATCTTAACTTGTAATTGACTAGCTTGCCCATTTGAGCGCATCTACAAGGGAATGTCAAATGCAAAGTGTTAAATTTGAATTTGTTGGCTTATGTGATAATTTGATACTTCATAAAAAATTAACTCCACCTAAAATGTCAAATATCATATTATATAATGTCCACGTGGTAATTTGATATATCGGTTGGAGATGCTCCTAACGGCCGGACAATTTAGCTGACTTTAGGTTGATTAGATTTTATTGCTAATTAAATTCTGTAACCCTTTGGGCCCCAACTATAAATATAAAGCATTTGCATTTTACGACATTATTTTGAAAGGGCTATACTTAGTTTTTTAATTTTTCAGGTATAGCGGCACAGCTATACTATTTTACACGTGCGCGCCAAAGGGAATACAAAACTAAGTATAGCCCTTTCAAAATAATGTCCAACTAGTCAGAAGAGAGAAGAATATAGTTGGGGCCCAAAGGGTTACAGAATTTAATTAGCAATAAAATCTAATCAACCTAAAGTCAGCTAAATTGTCCGGCCGTTAGGAGCATCTCCAACCGATATATCAAATTACCACGTGGACATTATATAATATGATATTTGACATTTTAGGTGGAGTTAATTTTTTATGAAGTATCAAATTATCACATAAGCCAACAAATTCAAATTTAACACTTTGCATTTGACATTCCCTTGTAGATGCGCTAAAATGGGCAAGCTAGTCAATTACAAGTTAAGATGTAAAAATTAAAAAGCAAATCAATTTAAGAGAAAACCGGTCACTAACTTGCATGCTCTATACCAAATAAGCAACATGAGATCTTTTGAATAATCCATATGAATAACCTTTGATGAGATGATGCTTCTAGTTGTGATTTCTCTAGATTCAGAATTCAAATAAAGCCATCAAGTTCATATGCATGAGAATGAGAGCTCTCTAAATATATATAATGGTGCAAAAGGGTTTAAGTTATTGATACAAGAAATCAATTTAAATTGCATGCTTAAACTTCAAAACTTTCTCCTCTAGCTTTTTGTTTCGGCAGTAAATGGTCTTTAATTATCTTTACAGAGTCCTTCCAGTCTCACGGAACTTGGGGTGCATCCCATGTCACCTGGCCACGAGTAGAAAATGTACTATTCATCGTTCTTGTGAGAATGAATATGTCATTAGAACATAATATATGCACCAACCAAACAAAAGGTAAAGCCCCAAGAAAAAGATCCAAGCAAACAAAGACACAGTTAATGTGACCGGCGATGAGGTTTAGGGTTTGAATCTATCACAATCAAATGGAATTGGAATTGCAGGGTGTGATTTGATTTCCAAATATGAACAAATATGTGAAAAATATGTGTTCAAAGCATTCATTAACATAATGCATTTTGGGAAAGTGAGAAGCAAGATGCAAAAGAGATGTATTACAAAAACTCATGCATAAGTGTTAATATAGCCTTCATTTATTCTCTCCTCCAGGCCAAACCAGTTATGAAGTTAGTAAAAAACCACTTACATAATCCTCAAAGTTCTAGGAATAGCTTTCAAAGTCTGTAAGTAGTTCTCATGACATTTCTTCAGACACTGCAGCTGTACAAGGACAAAGGAAACAAAATTCATGATCAAGTACAAACCACAAGAAGAAGTAATCCAATGTGGGAATCATCATAAAAGATAATGCAATCATCATCCCAGATGCATGAGAAAATGACAGAAAAGACAGCTTAGATTCAGCAAATGCAGGGAAGGATTCATTACAATAAGAAAAAGATTTAAATAGAAATTAATCTTTCAGGAGTGTTTAGAGAAGCATAAAACACTAGCAAGACTCTGCAGAGAAAAAGCAAAGCAGGAGCAATCATAGACTCATAGTTGGGGACTTACTCTAGCTCTTTCAGCAACCAGATGTCGGGGTAACTGCCACAGGGTCCCTTCAATATCATCAGCATCCATATAATATTCTCTTGCCTCTGTAATCGGATTTCTTTGTAATAAAAAATTAAGTTAAAGAAAATTAATACGAATCCCACACTACATCAGCATGCAATAAACTGCTGTATTTAGAAGTAGTCAAGTATAGAAAGAAAAGAAAAAGTATCCTCACAAGTCACAAGACTCACAACACATGAAACAGTAAAAGGATATTCCCTTCTCTTGGATCAAGGATCACGCTCAGAGTAGATTTCCACTCTTCTCTGATTAGTGCAGCACCAATGAGGTAAGTTGGGGGTGAACCAGTTGCCAATCGCTGAAGTCAGAATGCAGTTCGATAAACCATCAAGCAAAATTTAATCCATCGCATATTCGATAAACCATCTTTTTGTCACATGACATCTTCTGGGTAAAAAACAGACCAGCTGGCCTTTTACAACAGAACTGTCGTCTTTTAATGGCTTTGTAGTATCTTTGCAATTGTAAAAACAAGAAACCTCTTATTGCAAAAAGAAAAAAAGGAACAAGATACCCAATCTCAATAACATCTAGCCTTTTAAGTGCACTATTATGCAAATAAATAGTGTCAATCAGGATAATAGTACAATTCCAAAAGATACAACACAAATAATCAGGGGGGAAGAGAGAGAGAGAGAGAGAGAGAGAGAGAGAGAGAGAGAGAGAGAGAGAGAGAGAAAATGAGATGTATTATGCGAGAAAATA